ACCGGCGCGGTCATTGTTGATATGCTGGAGCACTGTCTATGAGCAGAATGGCGTCTAAGCGATTGTGGTGTTCTGTTCTTGGGTGTAATAACGAACACAGTCATTTTAATGTTCCTAAATCCGAACCGCTGAAGACGCAGTGGCTGAGTTTGTTTTCGAAGGGAATATTCCCCACGAGCAACGTCAATGCTCTCATGTTTGCCCGAATCATTTCACACACCAGACTGCTTTATAAACGAGGGTGAGTATAAAACTGGATTTGCTAAGTAGCTGCTCATGAAAAAAGATCGGTACCAGATATTCGTGTTCCTGCTGAATCTCCAGAAGAACTGAAGTGAGTGTAACGTTTTATTCAACTTTATATTAATATTTATATCTTTGCAAATCGCTAGCTGCACACTTCACAATGAATGCGTCTAAGGTTTACACTCAGGGTACATTACGGCATGTTTTCGATGTATGACGTTCTCAATATAATTCATAATTCCACGTTTATACTGAACAACGCGTTATGGTTATTGTGTTACAACCGGTGTACGCACAGAACAGAGGGGCGGGGTGAGCAAATTATCATTTAAAGTCATATGCACTGAAACGGCGTGCTGAAAACAGAGCTGTTTTTGACCAAGTAAAATAAGTGTTTTCTTACAATACTAATGAGAATTTTTAATTAAAGTATATTACAAACTTTTAATTTAGACCCCAAAGAATCATATTAGCTTGTACAAAAATGGCATTATATGCCCCTTTTAAGTTTTCAAAAAGCATTAGACATATGACCCACTATTCTGCTTCGTGTAAGTTATTTATCAATGAATTCAAACGCGTTGGCTGGCGCTGAGCCAGAGACATACGCTCTCAGTGCTGTCATATATCACAACTGTTCAGTGTTTTCAACCACATCATTTTTATTTTAGGTTTCAGACATTTAAATACACATAACTACTAGCAAAAAATATATTTGTAGTTTGTAAAATATACACTAATGATGTCTATGGAAGCGTCAATAATAATCATTTCCATTATAATAAGACGCACGTTTTATTCATATCAGATACACATTGTGTAAGTAGCTTTACATTTTACCCTATTCTTCTCCCAGTTCACCGGTCACTTACTTTCATGTATTTCGTGAGAAGTTGAGAAATTGACGTGTTGTAAACTAACGTTAACATGGCACCGCCCATTCGCACATACAGCTCAACTAACGCGATCATTATAAAAGGTGTTTAAACAACAAAACACATCCACTTACACATATTTGACAATCGGAATATCAGTGTTGCATGTTATAGCTAATACATTTGTGAACATTTTGAATAAAACAGGAAAAATGACATAAAAGCAGATCATTCATTCAGCGCTGTGTTGTGGTTGCGCTGTGTCACTTGACAAGCAATGACGCGTCACCATGAAACATTAAAGTGAGTGACAGGTTCTAAATAACGGTCGCCTAGAAAAACTCACGCTGGGGGATCAGTTAGAATAGTTTAAACTTACTTGTGAAAGGGTTAATGGCTACTTTAGCTATTACATTAGCTAACTACCAACTAACATTAACAAATTGACAAGCACTTACTGGGCAGAATGGCTCTTCAAATGACGGACGAAATTGGAGGTTGTCGTCTGGCTGTCCGCAATGTTAATGTTGTAGCCTAAGTCTTGCAAAGCGCTGTTCGTCTTTTGCCATCGTGTGAATAATTCTTGAAGCCGAAAGCAATGACCCTCGGTACCCCTCCGGCTGACATTTTGATGTGATATCTGATCTAAGTGGGCGTGGTGTGCGTAAGGTACGAGGTATGACTGATGATAGTGTCGTGATCAACTTTAAAACATTTTTTTATATATATTTTATATTCAAACTGAAAACATGATGTGATTAACACTCAAGTCATTCAAGTCATCGTGTCTCAAGTCAAGTCAAGTCCCGAGTCTTTAACTTCCAAGTCCGAGTCAAGTCTCAAGTATTTCATTTTATGTCAAGTCAAGTCACAAGTCATAAAAATAGCGACTCGAGTCGACTCGAGTCCAAGTCACCAAGTCACAAGTCCCCATGTCTGCAACCGAGGTATGCAGCAAAGCATTTGTGAAGCCACAACACGCACAACCTTGAGGCGGATGGGCTACAACAGCAGAAGACTCCACCGGGTACCACTCATCTCCACTACAAATAGGAAAAAGAGGCTACAATTTGCAAGAGCTCACCAAAATTGAACAGTTGAAGACTGGAAAAATGTTGCCTGGTCTGATGAGTCTCGATTTCTGTTGAGACATTCAGATGTTAGAGTCAGAATTTGGCGTAAACAGAATGAGAACATGGAACCATCATGCCTTGTTACCACTGTGCAGGCTGGTGGTGGTGGTGTAATGGTGTGGGGGATGTTTTCCTGGCACACTTTAGGCCCCTTAGTGCCAATTGGGCATCGTTTAAATGCCACGGCCTACCTGAGCATTGTTTCTGACCATGTCCATCCCTTTATGGCCACCATGTACCCATCCTCTGATGGCTACTTCCACCATGTCACAAAGCTCTAATCATTTCAAATTGGTTTCTTGAACATGACAATGAGTTCACTGTACTAAAATGGCCTCCACAGTCACCAGATCTCAACCCAATAGAGCATCTTTGGGATGTGGTGGAACGGGAGATTCGCATCATGGATGTGCAGCCGACAAATCTGCGGCAACTGTGTGATGCCATCATGTCAATATGGACCAAACTCCCTGAGGAGTGCTTCCAGCACCTTGTTGAATCTATGCCACGAAGAATTGAGGCAGTTCTGAAGGCAAAAGGGGGTCCAACCCGTTACTAGCATGGGGTACCTAATAAAGTGGCCGGTGAGTGTATATATATATATATATATAAATTACAGGAACGTCTGTCTGTGTGTCTGTTATTCGCATATCTCTCGAACCGTTAGTCCGATGGATTTCGAACTTGACAGGTGCCTTGCTATACGGGCACTGCCAAGTCTGACGTTGTTTGGATTAGAAATGCAAAAGATATCGTTAAATATATAGGTAAAAGAAGCCTACATTGAAGATGTTAAGAAGGTTGTGGTTTAAAACTATCTGAATATTATATTTTGTTCACGGCCATCATTTGTAGTATAACTCACAAACTGTTTGCTCAAGCGTAACGTTGGCGTTTTCTCGGAGTTCACAGTGTAATGTTAATTTAGCTGCTCCCTGAATCGTCGCGCTTAACGTTATTCATTTGTGGATGTTAACTGAATCTGTAAATCAGCTAGTGCTACACTGTTTACTTCTGAATATTATTATCCGCTTAACGCTATCGCTACTGTGTAATAGTATTCACCAACTAACGTTAAACATAAAAGACGCTAACGTTTGCTGCCTTACATTGTCTTTATAACGTTAACTTAATTGTAATCTGTAATGACAACAAAGTTGACACTATGTAAATCTAATATAATCTAAACTCCTGCTACCAGTACACAGATACTCAAATACATGTCACCTATTATCACCATTATAAATTGTTTTGCAACCATCATGTAGTTCAATTTTCCATATTTATTGTGTCATTATCAGTAACTTATTTGCTTTCTACCATGCACAAATAAAAATGTCACTGAACTTTTGCTGTGTAACGTTAATTGTAACAATGAGCACTCAAACACACCAAACCAACAATTACTAAAAACACACACAAAAACTGATTTTGAACGGGCACTTTGCACTAGTATATATAACGTTATATTTAACTTATATAGCTGCTACACACACACACTTTAAATGCTTTCAAAAGTAAACCGCTTTGGCCGCTAACATAGCTAACAATACAGACAGCTTTTATTCACCATACTTTTCTTTCCTCAACGCAGACAAAATATTTGTATAGATACTTAACATTTCTGTTGACTGAATTTCCAGGCAGCAAGGGTAACGCCATTATTAGTAGCAAGCGATAATGTAATATTTCCTCAGAGCAGGACGACACCAGACTGCACAACTGGTTGCCAAGGTAATAACTTGTTTGCAAATATCATTGCTAGGCAACGAATTCAGATCACGTGATAATACATTTATTACGTCTTCATGAAACCGGTTAATGCTTTCCGTTTAAAATACATTAATCATATTTCCGGTATCTCAGCAACAAAGGGCAATGTTGAATATCACCGTTTCGATAACGCGAAACATGCAATTGAATCATCGAAAAAAGGCCGTCAGAAATGATTAATTAATAAATAAATTATAAATTAATTTGAGCGAATGACATACAGTACTACTTCTCAATCTCTTCAGCCAAGCTGTTGCTACATACTGTAAAAGACATGATTTATGATTATTGTCTACATCTGCGGCCAATTTCTCATAAGTGTAGGCTCCTTACCCTGTAAAAAGTCTGTTGGGTAAAAGACATTCATGCGTTTGTCTTCTATAAACATATACTGTATGATACATCAAATTGTTTTTTAAACCTTCCTCAAGTTAAGAATTTTTTTCCTTGCACCACTGGAGACCAACCAGATGAAGTTAAAAGCAACAGGACAGGTGCACTTAAAACTAAAAAAACAGATCAAAAAGTATGAATAGACAGTAAATAACCAGAAAGACATTATTTTTTATTATTTCCACAAACATGATATTGGTGTGTTAGTATGTATATTAATAAAATAAATCACAAATGTAAAACTCAAAAAACAATGCATGCTTTTTGACACGTAGATATTAAAGAAATTGTACAACCAACTCAAATAATGTACGGTCAAAAAAAAAATACAAACACTTTAGTAAGATGAATATGTAACAGACTTCATGTTGATGTTTTACTGATTAACAATAAGCTAAATAAAATTAAAAACAACATTATAAAAACCACATCACCAATTTTCTATAAAGTCATTGGCACAAGATACACCTCTCTCTCCTTCAGGTTGTTTGGGCTATGTACAGTTAAGAACAACATTTTAGAGGAATATGTTCAGAACAACAGTAAAGCAAATGCCCATTGCACTAACTGCTTTTTGACAATACATCAAGTCCCAGTGTTGTACTTGTACCGCTGTGATACTTAAATAAGGGAGAATATTACTGTGCAAAATACTTATATCAGTAGCAATACAGTAGATCCAGGTTTCATTTAGGACGCCAGGCCCAGCAGAAATCCTCCAACAAATCCACCCGAGATAACAATATTCCTCTTCACAAATTCTGTAGACTGCATAGGACAAATATACCATTTACAGAATGTAGGTTACGTTATAAGAACTTGCTGAAGCATTATGTGCATTCGCTAAATAATAATACAAAATGGGTTTTACAATTTTTGTATACATTGGTATATTATGATGAAAGTATCACAGAATACCTACCTCTTCTATAAAGGAATTAAGCTCAGGGGCTGCTTTGTTTGCCCTTTTCTTCAAATGCTTTTTAGCTTTATTGACATCCTTCTCCACTTTCCTCCAGTCAACCTGCACATAGCCACTGTGGTTGGCAATCTGAAATAAGAAAAGATATTTCCCCCCATAGGTAAGATGACATTGAAGCATAATCCTTAAAATGGCTAGGCTATATGATGCATGCATTTTAATAATCCATACTTGTAACAAAAGAAATCCCCCTCCAACAGCAGTAGCCACAATTTTTCCAACTCTCTGAAAGAGATAACCAGCACACCTAGAGGACAGAGATCTTTGAGTGGACATACTAATAATCGATGCATTTATTCAGTTATTTCCCATGTAGAACAACCTAGAATATTGATTGTCTATATCAACACTAACCATCCTGTCACTCCACCCATCATGATCTGTGAAGCCACAGAGTACTTTTCTGCAATGGGTCCTGTGCTGCTCCCAAAAACACGACTCCACCATTGATGCCTCCTGGCATAATCTGTGATGTTAACCACCTCATACAATTCATCTTCACTTTCTGCATCTACATCTGAAAACAAACAGTAACTGTCATTATACATGAATATAGTAATTGTATATTCACAGAATCACAAGACATGGATGCAAGTGAAATGCTCCTTCATATAATTCATTTGCATTGGTAAGCAATAAGTATACAAATTATTGTGTAAATTTCTACCCAAAAATAAATTGTAGGTCCACAACCTGTTTTACATCCTTTATTAATTTTAATTAACCCCCTTATGATCTGATACAAAAAAAAAACAAAATAAGTGGTGAGAAACAGCAACATTCTTAAGTATTGTTTAACACTGATAATAGGGTCACCAACCTCACCATCGCAAATATATTGAAATATAACCTGAGAGTAAAGGCTCTTTAGAGTATACATTCACTAACGTGCAATTGGAAAGATACGAATGAAAAATGAAAACAGTATGGTTGAATCTCCCACGAATTAGCAACATGATCTCTGTATCTGCTGACATAATAAGCGAACACCCTGCAACTACAATGGAAACACTTGCAGTCTCGTTGCACATAACCCATATGGTTAAATAAACACGTTGGCAATCAAGACTATTCATTCAAATGTTTGGTAGGCCAATTTATTTACCTTCACCGCGATCCGCCATTTTATGAGGCTGCGTTCACAATGTTCGCAACCGCTGCAGCTCTACGCAAAATCCTGCGTAATTTACGTGCGATCACTGCCCACAGACCCATACGATTGCGTGTATGCGCTATTCTCAAAATACATAGCAAATTGTTCCAAATGTAATAGAATATACAATATTTTTTAACTACACTACCAGAGGTCTGATTGCCTGAAACTGGCTTTATTTTATATAATAAGAAACACTGCACTATAACAAACAAACAACAATAATATTATTTTATTATTATTATTATTATTATTATTATATCTTAATAATTTCCACCGTTGTTTTCTAAAATTATTGGACATATCTCCCTTTTTTGGAATTTTTAAGAAAGAAAGAAAGAAAGATAGGATTATACTTTTTGGGATATGATGACATGGTGGCATTTATTATCTGAAACTGGGGCATTACAGCAATACACATCACAGAACTGCAAAAAACAATAAAATGCAATAAAATACTGTATACATAGGGTTAGGTTACTGTATGCATGCAGCATACACACACACACACACACATATATATATATGTAGCAGCGTTCTCCTTACATCCTCAAAACCCTGAGTTATCAAACAGACAGATGCTTGAACCAATAATGCGTTTTATGATTGTGTTACGTAATCATAATAAATCCAGGTGAGCCAATCGCAGCAGGCGAAGATACGGCGTAAAGTTGAGGGGTTTGTTATTTACCCTCCCCCTTGAAAGTTTATGTGAAAAAAAAAGGATCCCAAGACAAGGCCGATCACGTGGTCCTCGTCGAAAGCAGCGATTGGCCCAAACCACAGAGAAGGCGTTCCGACGGTGGCGGCGTGGGTTCGCTTGAGTGACACAATTATAACAAGTTTGAGCTGGCGACTAGGGGGAAGTTTGAGACATTACTAAATAACAATTTAAACCGTTAAATCTTGCATTGCTCATTCTGCATGCATTTTGTTGTACCTGCTACCTGCGACTCATTTATGTCGAGGACAATGTGAAAAAGGGGGTGTTCAGAGGAAATTATTTTCCGTCTATTATTTTTGTGTGTAGATCTACGCTAAAGGGTGCTCGGCTTGCGGTGCGTAAATATTTTCGCTGGAGTTTTTTGTCTATGAAATCGTGCGGAGTGTCTGTGGCCGCTGTAGCTCGCGCTGCTGCTGGTGGTGGTGATGAGGAAAAGAAAATGGCGGCGGGAAAAGCGAGTGAAACCGAGGAGGACTTTCCGAAGCTTACGCCGCAAGAAAGGGAGCGCTTAGCCAGCATAGACAGGTCAGTTATAGCCCCTTTACCTGCACCGATGACCCTCTGTGCATTTTTATAAGGCTTCCCCGCATGTTAAAGCGGTGCAAATGAATGCGGTGCAGGTAAAGTAACACGGAACCGCCTGTGTTGTCCTCTATTTGCAGCACACTGTTTGGATTTCAGAGGCTTCATGAAGATGGCGCCAGAACGAAGGCCTTGCTGTTAAAGGTATGAGTGTATGACACTGATGGGGCTCCAGACAGATAGACACATAACTCTGATAATCATATAAGGGAAATTACAATGCAACACCAGTCTGCACAATGTGACCACATTGCACAGGAAAAAAACCCATCATATTGATACAGTACACTATGCAATGACACTTAAGGGGTCTATAGACATTAGTGTATACTTTATTAATCAGCAGCCATACAGCCCGAAAAACATTGCATTGTACAGAATAGTGCTGTGTGCGTGACACTTTTATGATGCTGTAAACAGATATTTATAATGTAACAAGAAATAGAAGCTATACACAACATTACACGTTGTAGTATGCAGCCACAGAGATATATAAATATAAACCATATATTATCGGCCAGCGTTATATTTAAAGTTGGATTGTACATTCGACTTACATCCGCATATATTCAGTATACTATATTATACTTAGCTCTTATCTGCTAAATGCGACTAACGTTAGATATTATCTTTTTTATCATCATAACTTTCTGTAAATCTTCTCTGAAACGATGCGTATTGTATGAAAAACACTATACAATTAAAACTGGCTTGATCGGCTGCTCTGTGCATGACAGTGATAAGGTTTTGTAGTAGTTCCCCTCAGTTAATATTTTGTCTGCCTTCAAAGTAATCATGGAGTTATTCAACTCAGTGTTATGTTTGTTTGGGTTTAAACTGCAGTCAGACTTTCTTCATTTTGTGCGTTGTTTAGCTATCACCATCCGAGGAATAGACTGTTCTGTTGAGAATATTTATTTATTTATTTATTTTTGTCAGTCCATATTGAATGAAATGATTTCACTGATTTTCGCCTATTATGACCTGGTTGAAGTGTGAGAATGAAGAGTTGAGGGCAATGAGGAGGTTGTTTTTATTTATTTGCATTCATTTGAAAATCAGTTAAACAGTCGAAGATTATTTTGTGTGTGTGTGTGTGAATAAATTGATTGTCTTTATTTATAGAGAATTGTGCCAGGAGATGCATCTGTCGTTTGATGATGATAAACCCTCTGAAGTGTGCAAGTTTAGCTAGCTGGTCATACTCGGTTAGGTCAGAGTTGTGAATTATTGAACTTATTTGCAGATCTTAGCCCGGTCTGTTGGCTACTGTAGTGTTTCGAGAGTAACTGGGAAGGTTAAAACTCTGATCCCCCACCAGTGTTTCATCCGGCAGTGGCTACATGCTAGCTGGTTAGCATGATGCTAACCAACTATAACTGCATGTGAGGTGAATGCTGGTCTCTTTTCAGTCTTTTCTCAGCATCCATGCTTTCAGTAAAGCAAGCAAGTTGCTTACGAGCACTTGTATGTTGTTTAACAATGAATATAGCTGATAATGGAGGTTTTCATTTGGCCAGTTGACTTAGGTTTCTTTGCTAGGTTGCATGACTTTTCCTGCATTTGCATGCAGCATTTGTTGGTTGCAGTACGCTGGTGCTGGATAGTGAATGAATATTTTGTCTCATGAGCCATTCATTTGTTTTAATGGCTGTTGTAACATATGAACAACATATTTGCATTTTTAAGAATTCATTGTCATTTTGCAGGACCCTTAATGTAAATATGACCTGCAATAAAATATAAGGTTTAAGTTATAAAGATGAAAAAGGTCTCTGCACTTAAAAAAAGATGAATGAAAAAAGTCTCTGCACTCAAAATATTTTGGATTATTTTTTATCCGAAGTATGGATGTAAGCTTATAGACAAAACTGTGCTGTAAAATAATGAGATTAATAGGTTGGATTTATTATTCATAGACATTTATTTACTGGCCACATGAAATGTTCTAAATATTGCTGATAATAAGAAAACCTTAAAGCTTTAGTTCACACAAAAATTCTGTCATCTACTCACTCTAATGTTGCTCCAAACCCGTAAGATTTTTTATTCATCTTTGAGGTTCATTCTTGTGTGTTACACACATGGTTACGCAGCACATTTGAGCTTCCGCAAGAACCAATAAGGTTTGTTCTCACGTGTGAAGCATGTACGGTTAAGCTTCTGTTTATGTTCGCTGATCAATGTTTATATGTATCAACAGTTATATCCCTTTTAGAACGATATTTTTCAGAAAATAACAGAATCCAACAGACTTTAAAGAGCTCAAGTATTTAAAGTGCAGCGCAGGCTTATAATAAACAGAATGTTTTTGTGCATTGGTGTGGATGCTTTATAGTTGTTATAGTTATCGTTATTGGCGTGAACAATGGTCATCTGTGATGTTTCACATGAAATGTTTTGCAGAAGAGCAGACCAATTTCTACAATTCCATGTAGACTTATTTTTTCACATCTTCCTTTGTAAATCATCTGGATTTGTCTCCGGAGATGGACAGGTGGAATGTTTAATTATTATCACTGCAATAGGCCAGACATTTTGAAGTTCTGGTGGCTCTAAAAAGAATGAGACTATTCATTTAGAAATAAACGTGCACATCTCTGTGTCTGTTGGTGAGAGCATTGCTTGCTGTCTGTCTGCTTCTGTTCAACTCTTCCCACAAACTAGCCATGTCTGTCAAAACGTGTTGTCCCAGATACAGCTCTCTTCAAAGACCACAGTGCAGTGGTTAAATGAACGCTTCTTCCTTTTAGTTTCACCAAAACATGTATTAATATTGGTATTAACATTATTGATCAAAATATTCTGATTTTTTTTTTTGCTTCCTAGATATTGTTTGTCTAAAAAGACTTTATGGTAGCCAACGTTTATTATTTAAATGAACAGAATTCTCTCATTGACTGATCTTTGTAAACAAGCGAACAATCATTTGCTATGTCATTAAGCATGTGCTAGTCAGTGTGTTTAGCTTGTGTGCGTGTATAGCAATTTCATTATCTCAAGCGTAAATAATGTTCTAGCAATTTAACATGATAGTCCAAAACATATATCCAAGAATACAAACTGAAACCTCCTGAACTGCTTGTGTCTTAGAAAATGACCAGTGTATGTAACCTTTTCTATGACCTTCAGTTCTGTTAAACTTGGCTGACGTTGTAGGACGGTGTATCAGATTCAGAGCTTTAAAGTATAACAATGGGGGACAAGCAAGACCACTGGTTGAATATTGTGTGGTGCATTAGTATATTTACATTGATTGCTCCTCCTGTAATTCTATGTTGCTTTGTCTCAAACATTCTACCAAAGCAGTTAAAACAAGTCTTAAATGCTGTATTAGTCATTCATGTGGCACATTTTTTTTGGAGTTAAGCTTGTTAGCTGAAATGAAGTAAATGTTAAAGTTGAACTTTGTAAAGGCACTATGGGGTTGGGATTTTTTAAAAAGAAACTCAAGGCCGTAAAATAATATTTAAATTTAAGTTGGGGTGGGTGATATGGCAAAAATATCATACCACGTTTTTTTTTTTTTTTTCAGACAGGATCACGATCGTTTTTACGATACTTTTTCAAGTTGTTTTTAACGACTATTTTGCAAGTCACTGAGCAGTAGTCAAACTAATTAACCTATTTTAAAAATGTAGCCTTACAAGGTAGGACAAAGTAAGGGCGTGGGCGATAGTCAAAATCATATTATTATTTTATCATTGTTATTGAAAATAAGAACAAAGATGCTAAT